CAGCCCTGATGGGTGGCTGTCTGCTCGTGCCCGCACCCCTCGCAAGCCTCCTGTCCCCCTCAAACCGATCCCCAGTCCACGCGCTCCTCATCCCCTGGGGCCAGCCCTCCTCTCCCCCTAATATCTGTTTCCACGCCCCCCAACACTCCTCTGCACAGCAGCCATACAGACCACACCCCTCTCCTGCTCAAGTCCCTGCCAGGGCTCCCTAGTGCCCGCACACTGAGACCCGACCCCACCCCCGACTTGGCTCCTTTCCCTTCCACTTCCCTGGGTTTAGGCCTCGTGCCTCGAAGTCCCCTTAAATACACCAGATACACCATGTGCAGACCCGCCTCCAGAGCTCTGTCCCCGCACTTCCCCCACTGGCTTTTCTCATCCTCTGGTCACACCCAGTGTCCCTGCCCCGGGGACCCACCCCACCGAGGTCCGGGTCCTGCGAGAGCACATTCAGAGCCTTCTGCCTCTTCGTCTGGTGCCCGGCAATGGGGGCACAAGGGTGGGGTGCTGGCCGCTCTCAGCCCGTTTCCCAGCTCTCCGGGCCCCCTGGCTCCTCGGGACACGGCTGGGGTGGATGGGCAGGGGTCCGTCACCGCCAGGTCCCCTTCCTTGTGCTTAGAGCTGCGAGGGCCAGACAAGCCCGGCCTGAGGGGCTGGTGGTACGGCTGCCGCTTCGGTCCTGCCTCCCGCCGGCGAGGCAGCGGCCCTTTCCCCCTCCGCATCCCGTATCCAGCATGACCCACCGGCCCTAGGCCCAAGCAGCAGGCCCTCGAAAACCCTCGCTCCCAGAAGCCAGGGAAAGTGAATGAAAGAATGAACAAATGAGCCCCAACACCCCAGTGAGCGTGCGGGTCTGGGTCAGGCCCCTCCGTGGGGACCACAGGGACCAAGAAGCCCCCAGCTCCAGAGGCGCCACTCTCCCCGGCGCGGGCGCTGGCTGGGGACAGGGAAACGTCCCAGCCGGGGTCTGGCTGGAGTGAGATGTGCCCCGCCCACCAGGGCTTATGAAACGCAGGGAGGAGCAGTGCGTGTTGGGGGGGGGGGGCTCTGCTCACACCCCAAGGGAACATTCCCATTTTGGAGACAAATGGAAACAGATGTCAGGAGATGGCCCCAGGATCCTGGATTCCGTTACATCCTCTCTGCGTGGACAACCCTGGCCTGCACACCTACTGTGTCTTCCGGAAGCTTCTGTCCCCCCGCCCCTTGTCTGTGTTCTGTCCCTCATCTCCCCCCATCACCACCACCACTGGCGAGAATCTGTTCTTGGCATTCGTCGTTCCAACCAGAAATGGGGTTCTCTCCCACACATGGGGTCCCCAACCCGGGCCCAGGGCTCAGGTGTGGCTTGTGGGAAAGAGGAAGCAAGTGGGGGAGTCAGACTCGGGCTCCTGCCTGCCCAGGCCAAGCCAGCAGGCAGCACCCAGAGGAGAACAAAGGCCACAGGCAAGCCGGCAGGTGGGGGTGGGCGGGCTGTAGCCCGGCCTCAAGGGGCCCCTGGCACCTGCCACTGGCGGTCTGTCCCCATGCCAGGGCCTTGTGGGGCTCACCCAACCCTCGGGGCTGGGCAGAGGTGACAGGCATGCGGGGGCCCCCACAGGCGGCTCCACCCAGTGACTCAGTCCAGGCTGGGCCTCCCCAGGGAGGACAGTGGTGACCTGTGGGTGCCAGGAGGTCCTCCTGGCAGGTGTGAGCCCTGGGGCACCCTGGACCCAGAGAGGGCCTTTCTAAGCCTCAGTTTCTTCATCTGTACAATGGGTCTAATCTCTCGGTCATGGGGACCTGACAGCCAAACGTATGGATGCAAAGAGTCACCTGTAGAGCCAAAGGGGAGTCACCTGTAGAGCCAAAGTCACCTGATGGCCCATCTGGAGGGCAGACACGGGGCGGGTCACAGATGCCATTGGCCCAGTGTCCTGCACCGAGCGAGGCACACAGCTGGTAGTCAATAGCCGTGCGGTCCTTGAGTTTGTGGAGGCCTCTTTAGGCACAGTGGCCCCGGAGCTGCTGTTTACACAGTCTGCGTGAGGCTGGGGGCCCTGAGAGGCCTGGGCCCCAGCCTGCTCCTTGAGAAACCCCCCAGGTTGGGGGGAAGCTGGAGCGGGTCCAGACCTGTAGTGTCAAGGTTGGGCCACAGGGAACGGCTGGGGATTGAAGGGGCCTTTGTGCTGCCCGGGACACGAGTCCATCAGTGGGAAGAGGCTGAGGGAGGAAGGCTCAAGCCATGGGCACCGACTCCGTAGCCATCGCTGTGCCTTCGTGTTCTCGACGCAGAAACTGAGGCCCGGAGGGTGTCAAGAATTTGCAAGTGGCCACAGTGAGGCGGGAAGGAATGAGGAATTCTAACCCAGGCCCCAAGACCCACACCTGCTCTCCAGGCGTGCAGCACAGGGGAATTCTCTGAGCCAGAAGGGGTCAGGGTGAGGGTCAGCCTACTCTGGGTGCAGCAGGGGGGCTTGTGCCTTCGTTGGGAGGCCTGCAGCCCTCTGGCCTCTCCTTAGTCTTCTTCACTCACTCCTCACCCTGGACCACCACTTTGCTTCCTGGGTTGGGGGTAGCACTGAACTAGGGTGATTTGGAGTTTCCAGGTATGAGTGGAAAAGCATTCCAGGCAGAGGGCACAGCAAGGACAACAGCCTGGAGGTGAGAATGAGCCAGGGAGGTTCTAAAACACTAAGAGAACCTGGTGGCCAGAGTCTAGTGTGTCAGGAAGATGGTGGCCTCTTCCCAGGCCTGGAAGGGAGGGTGGCTTTCTGGGGACACAGGAAACCAAGAAAGATGGTGGTATTTTCCTTCTTTCTCTCTTCTCTCTCTCCCCCCCCCCCCCCCCCCAGATTTTATTGATTTGAGAGAGAGAGAGAATGAGCAGAGGCAGAGGCAGAGGGAGAAGGGGAAGAGTCCCGGCAGAGCAGCGAGCCCGATGCCGGGCTCGATCCCAGGATCCAGGGGACCATGACCTCAGCCGAAGGCAGAGGCTTAAGCGACTGAGCCCCCCAGGCGCCCTAAGATTCCGGTATTTTCGGCTCCTTCATTTGTAATTCGATTATTCCCTTCTGTGCGGTTCGAGGAGCCCTTGGATGTGGGAAGAATGTCGGACGTCGAAGGAAGCAGACCATGGACCATCGGAAGGCTGGGTCCTGCCTCAGCCCTGCCCAGGCGCAGGTCCAGACTTCGGGGGAGCACGCCGAGACTCGGGTAGGAGAAAGCAACCAGCAAGTCAGAGGCACAGGGCGAGCTGCGCGTGGGCCTCTCGGACCCTGAAACGGCGCTGGCTTGCGCGCTGCCAGCAAAGGCGCACATGCCCGCTCTCAAGACCCAGCACCGGGGCCAGCCCCAGGAACTGAGACTCGACCTCCTCCGAGAGGCCGCGCGGGCGGGCCCGCACACCTGACAATAAAACCGCAAAGCCCTCCCCCATCGCTTCTCGGGGACTGACGCCCCGAGAGTCCCACCTCTTTCTTCTCTGGACTCGCGGAAGAGGCGGGGCGGGGACGGAGCCGCATCGCGAATGGCCGCCGGTCACGCCAATCAAACTGTCGCACCCTTCGATTGGCCACCGCTGTCCAGCCTTATCTTTCCGTCTCACGGTCCATGCCTTCTTGCGTCACCAGTGCGTTGCCAATCCGCGTGCGCCTCCGCGCTGGAAGATAGTCCCGGCCGCCTCCCCGCGCCCTTAGCCGGCGCCCTCTGCTCCCAGGCCCCAGTTCCCACGAGGCCCGCGCCGTTTCCCGCGGGCGCGCAGCAAAACGAGCCGCGCGGTTCGCGAGCGGGTGGCGGCGGAGGGATCCGCGGCGGTGCCGAACGGCGCGCGGGGCGGGGCGGGGCGCGGGGCGGGGCCTGTTGGGGGCGGGGCGGCGCGCGGGGCGGGGGGCGGAACATGTCTCCCGCCGCAGGAAGATGAGGCAGCGGCGGCGGCCGCGGGCGTAGCGGGCCGGACCGAGCCCAGCGACGCGGGCGGCGGGCAGCGCGAGCTCCGCAAACGCCGCCTCCGCCAGCGCCCCGGCCGCGCACGGGCCCCGCGGGGCGGGCCGCAGGGGGAGGGCCGGGCCACGCGCCGCCGCCGCCGCCCACGCGCGACCCTCGGGGGCCCGGCGCGACGCCCCTTTGTCCGGGGGGGCCGTTCATGCCGCCGCCCCCCGCGCGCTGCGGGCCCGGCCGCGCCGAGCAGGTGAGCACGCCGGACGCCGGCGCCCGCGGCTTTGTGCGAAGCCCGCCCGCCCCCTCCCCCCGCGGCCGCGGGCCGGGACCTCGGGGCGGGGGCGCCGTCCGGGGTGCGCCCCGCCGCGGCCCGGGCGTCATTGTTCTCCAACTTTCCGCGCCCCCCGCCCGCCGGGCCGCACTTGGCGAAACTTTGCAGCGCGGCGGGCGGGGCGCGGGCGGGGGCCCCTCCGCGGGCGCCGAGTTCGGAGGGGGCGGGGAGCGTCCTTTTGTCTGGCGGGGAAGGTGCGGCGGCGCGGCCCGCGGGCGCAGGTTGGGGCCGGCCGGCGGGGGGGGCCGGGGCGCGAACATCTGCTGCGCGTTAGCGCGGCCCGGGGCGGCGGCAGCGGCGGGGCGGCTTCAAAGGCTCCCGGGCCGCCGCCTGCACCGGCCGCGGCGGGCGGGGGCCTGGGGGGGCCGGAGCGGCCGCTCGCAGCGCCGCCCCCTCCTTCCTCGGCGGGCGCTGGTCCCGGAGCCCTGCGACAGCCCCACGTCTCCACGCCTCGGGCGTCCCCGGCGTCGGTCTCAGCCGCCCCGCCAGAAAAGTGGTTTCGGGCCCGCCGAAGTCAGCTTCGCACGCCCGCCGGGGGAGGGGCGCTGGGCCGGCCGCGTCCCCCCACCGCCGTGGGCTGGCCGAGCGAGCCGGGGCTTCTCGGGCTGGACCCTGGGTCCCCCCGCGCCCCGCAGCCCCCGCGTGTGAGGGGGCCGCCGCCGACGCGGAGCCCGGGGCCCAGGCCGGAGGGTGCGCGCCCGGCTGCGCTCCGCCTCCCCGGCGGAGGGGGCGGCGGGCCCGGCAGGTGAGCCTCCACCGGCGCTCGGGAACGGAAGCGCCTGCGGCCGGGCCGGGGAAGCCCTGCTTCGGGGACACCCCAGCCCACCCCGGAGCGGCGGGCGAGGGATGTTTTCAAAGTTGCTCGAAAATAATTCCCGGATACATCGTGACAATAAAGCGAGCTGGGGGCGGTTTTTTTCTGCGATCCGAGCTGGGTTGTTTTCTTTGCGGGGGGAGGGGGTGAGGGGTGGAGGGGAGCTTAGTAGGCAGGTCCCTGCACCGGGCGCCCTCCTTCCCTCCCGTGCGGACTTGGGAAGACCGTTGAGCCTTTTTACTGAAGCTTGTTTTTAGCTTTGAATTTTGGGGCGACCTGGTTTTCAACAGGCTGGGACAGTTGTTGGGGGGCGGGGGTCACGACATTTCCCGTGGGGTGGGGCCTGGGCTGCCCTCCCTCCTCCGTGGCGGTGGCACGCCTGGGGGGGCTGATGTTGGGAAGGAGAGATGGGGGGGAGAAGGGCGGGTTCTGACGCATTGGGGAAGGGACCACTCCCAGCCTGCATCCCCTTTGAAATTTGCCATCTGACTCCTTGGTGGTCTTGGAGGGCTTTAGAGAATGTGTATTTGCGGACTCCCCCTTTCCCCCCACCCAAGTGTTCAAACTTCCTGAGGGCTCTGGGGAGAGGTCTCTAGGGGCCCAAAGCAGGTCCTGGCAGCTCTGCCCCCACCCCCAGGGTCAGGAAGGGGCTCCTTCTGGGAAGACCCAAGCTCTCAGGGCCGTTAGAAGAAGGGCTCTCCTACTCCCCATCTGTCCACCTCTTCCACCATCACTCAGATCTCTTCTTTGCTCTCCGTCTCCCCGTGTGTCTGTCCCCTTCTCTGTAGGGCCGTCTCTAGGCCTGAGGTGCCTCCTCTGGGCCCTGGAGGATGAACCAGCCACAGAGGATGGCGCCCGTGGGCACAGACAAGGAGCTCAGTGATCTCCTGGACTTCAGCATGGTAAGCCGGGGCCCCGCCTGGGTGCCGGCCTGCGCCCCCAGGCTTCCTGGGGCAGAAGCATCTGCCAGAAATACCCGAACAGCCCAGAGCCAGACCTCAGATTTGGCTGGCTAGAAGGGTCCCTGGTGGCTAGGGGCTGGAGGATTTGGGGTGCAGTGGGGCACGTGGGCTGTGGGCCAGCAGTGGCCTTGGCCTCCTGATCTGGAAAGTGGTTGTGATCAGGCTTACGCATTGGTGTGGGGGTAAGAAGGAGGAAGGAAAAAGAACCACCCAGAACCAAGATGATCGGTACGGGGCAGAGAGCGTGGCCAGTGAGGGTCCCCTCCTCAGTGACTCAGCCACATGGCGGCTGGTGTGATGGGTGGTCAGGAGCCAGGGGGCCCAGGCAGGAGGTCGTGGCAGATCTCGGGAGTGTGGGCGTCTCCAGGTGGGTGGGAGCTGCCACTGTCCGTCCCGTGGCTCCAGGGGCCCCGCAGTGCGCGGCTCCTGCCTGGCTGGGGCTGGACAGAGCTCTCGGGAGGCTGCTGGCTCCCGGGCCTCACGTAGCTCAGCCGGGCCCAGGGGTGGGAGCGGCGGCCTCAGTGTGCTCATCTGTACAGTGGGTCATCTCTCACCAGCGTGCGGCGGTCCGCGTGTCTTCTGGTGCCTGCAGCCTGCTACAGACACTTCCCCAAGTCCTGCTCTGGCTCCTCCGCCAGGAAGCACTCTTGGGATCCGAAACGCTTGGGGGGAGGGTGCTTTCAGTCTGAAGTTCACCCCCTAGCAGGAGGCGGCGCAGGCCACTGAGGCCTGTCGAAAACAAAAGTCCCCAAACCGAAACGACACTAGCCGCCCTGTGGAAAAACACAGCCCCCGGGACAGAGGGCTCCGGCTCCGGAAGGGCCACACTGGTATTTCTGAGCCATTTTTAAGCCCCGTTTTATTTTTGCTTCCCCGGCTGAGTAACCCAGAGCGCGGCTCACTTGTTTTCTTGTTAAACTGACAGGTCACGGTTTACTGAGCTGGAACATACTGGGGCCGGGGGCGGGGGGGAGGCGGGCAGCGGGCACCGGGTCTGGCCGGGCCGGGCCCCTTCGCCTCTTCTGGCCGAGAGCTTTGAACCCTCGTTCCCCCATCCCTTCTTTCTGGTGCGTCCGACCGTCTCCTCCGCCCCAGCTCCCAACCCATTTCACAGATGAGGAAATTGAGGCTGAGGGGTGAGGTGCCCTGTGTCTTCTCTCGGGCGCACCCGGAGCTGCATTTCCATTCACCGTCCTTGTCACGAGGAGAAAGGCCTGGCCTGGTCCCGGGGTGCCGAGAGCTCGGCTGTCCCCTGCCGTCCTTCCTTAGCGGCTCCCTCGCACCTGCCCCAGAGAAACCCGGTGCAGTTGTTTTCTCATCAGCTTGGTTTTAGGCTGAGGAGGGCTCAGGAGGGGTAGTGCTCGCCGGGGCCAGGTTCCTGTGCAGGAGACACCGCTGTCGGGACAGCTTGGCTGCGGTGCTAAGGGCTGCTGGGCCCTGAATTCTCCAAGGGGGGGAGGAGGCTCGTCGGGGCGCGGAGGGCACGTGCAGGACTGGGTTTCAGTGTGCCATGTGGTCAGGGCCCTGGGTCCCTCTCGCAGAAGAGCAGGCCGCTGCTGCAGGGTGTGAGCGGGTGTGTGGGGACGGACAGGGCCCAGGGCCCCTTGTGGGCGATGCCACGTCAGCACAGCCCCTGGTACCCGAGGGGACAAAACAAAGACTTGGAATGCGGCCCTCCCACCCCCAGGGGCTTGGCTCCCGACCCCCAGGCCTGGGGTCCAGTGGGTTCTGGTTGTGGCTCAGCCAGCCCCTCCCTCGGTGCAGGCGTCTGCTGCCCCCATGGGCCAGGACCCCATGTGGGAGGACAGGGCCCTGGGGAGGCTGGGCCAGTTGAGCGAGCACAGCCACGCCCCAAGCAGGGGTGTAGATCCAGTGAGAACCTGCCTCCCGCCGGGCTCCCCGCCTCCCATGAGCCCCTGCCACCTGGCCTGCCGTGGCCAGATGAGCACGTGGCCTGTGTTTCCCTCCTGTAGGATGGGGCGTGGGGACATGGCTCCCTGTCCTGGGACTGTCCCAGGGCTGGTGACGCTGCCCCAGGAGTGCCACCCACAGGGTCCGTGTCCTCAGCTGGGTGGTGGTGGGGGCTGGGGGTATCAGCAGCTCCCAGTGAGCCCCCCGCCCCGATTGTAGCCACCCTAGCCGGAATCTAAACCTGGACTCTGGGGGTAGGGCCTGGATGTGCTTTGTTTTGTGCGGTAAAAGGGTTTGTTGGTGTTGGGTTTTCTTGGCTAATGCCGCTAAGCTGTTTAATCCTGGGGGATTTAGCACGGTGGGTTTGGGTAAACTGGGGTGGGGCAGGGGTGGCCCACACAGCACCCAGGACAACCTCCCAGTCACCTGTTGGGGGGTGGGCACTGCCTTTCCCAGGTTCCTCCAGCTTCCTGGGGTTCCGGGCCTCAGTTTCTCCTGAGGGGCAGGTGTGATAAGGGTTCCCAGGCAACCATGGGATACAGAATCTGGCACGTGGGGGCCGCTTGACCCAGGTCACCCTCCTCCCATCCCAGCAGCTGGGCGGCGCTGGCCTCCCCACATGCTGCCACTCAGGGTCCGGGGCACGGAGGACGGGGGGATTCTGGCCTGGCTAGGGCCTTGTGCACAGTCCCCCTTATTGCTGGCCCCCGGAGCAGTACTCTAGTTTTTTAAAGCTGGAACTTAAGGAAAATCTTATTTGGCTTCTGAGCTTAGGTAGAAGGTTTCCAGTGCTGACACCGGCTACTCAGCTGCAAACAGCAGAGTTGTTTTTTGTGTTGCCACTTAAGTAAGTCCTGCACCCGGTGTGCGGCTCACACTCATGTCCCCGAAATCAAGAGCCGTCCGTTCAGCGGCGCTGCCAACGGCAGGCTGGGCTCCCTTGCGTGCCGTGTGGCCCCTTCTCTGCTTTTTTGCCTGGGGTCTCCCATGAGACGGTCCCCTAGGCAGAGCTGTGTCCTGAACCCACGCTCCTCTCTCTCTCCTACAGATGTTCCCCCTGCCAGCGGCCCACGGCAAGGGCCGGCCCACCTCCCTGGCCGGCGCCCAGTTTGGAGGCTCAGGTAGGACCCTGTGGCTCAGGGCTGCGGGTGGCTGGTCAGGCAGCAGGGCAGCGGGGAGGCGGTCACAAAGCGGAGGTGATTGGGGACCATCTACGAGGAGGTGCTGTTTGAGTGGAGACATGCGAGGGGTTCAGGGCGAGGGGCACAGCCTGTGCAAGGGCCTGGAGCAGAGCCGGTGCTGGCGTGTTGGAGGAGGAGCAGAGGGAGTGGGGGTAGGGAGGGCAGGGGGAGCGAGGAAGGTCCTGGAGGGCCTTGGGGTCTTGGCTTTTACCCCGGGGGGCAGGTGGGAGCCTCTCCGTGACTCTGGGATTTGGGATGGAGAGGTTTGTCTGGGAGTCGTTTATAAGTGCCCCAGGGTATCTAGTGTGTGCTGGCTGGGGAAGGAAGGGGTTTTTCAGGGGTGGGTTGTGCTCAGACACCCCCACAAGGGGAGGGACGTTGTGTCATGTCCGCTCCCCTCCCCATGCTGGCCCCCCGTGTCTGAGGAAGTGGCCGCAGGCTGACCGAGTCGTCTCTGAGCTGTGGAAATCCCCACAGGCCATCCTGCCGCCTCCCCCAGAAATACCTCCCAGGAGCTGGGGTGCTACCCTTTGTCTGGCTTGGGCAGAGGGCCAGGCCCTGGGGGTCTCCTTGGAGGAGATGGCGCAGGCGTTCCCTGGTCTCCCCCGGGCCTCTGCCCCTGTGGTCTTCCCTCCTCCAGTGCCCACTTGGGGCCAGCAGCCCGAGTCAAAGCCGCAGCTCCTGGGGGAGGTGCCATTTGCGGCCCTGCCCTGATCACTTGGGATGGGGACAGGGTGTGCTGGTTCCAGCCTGGGAGGCCCCCGTCCTGGGTCTGCAGCCGGGGCCTCCTCACCCAGGTCTGTTCGAGCCGTCAGCACCAGCCCGAGCCAGGCGTGGCTGGGGACATGGGACCGGGAACCCAAGGACTGGAGCTGAAGGGCCCCTTCTCACTGCCACCCCAGGCAGGAGACACTGTGTCGCCTGTGGCAGGCGGCAGACCCACGAGCCTGTTTCTTCATCTGTAAGAGGACGCATGCCTGCGGCCCGCCAGGTGCTTCCGCGAGCCCGTGGCCTTGAGGGCTTCGGAAGCTGGAGGTGGGCGCGTCCCGGAGGAGCCCTCCTGGCCCTGCAGTGAGGTCGCAGTCTCAGGCCTGGGCTCGGCCCTTCGTGGGTTCTCCCTGCTCTGAGCTTTCTCCCCCCGCCCCCTCTGCCTGGTGGGGCTGGTCCTCGGCAGGTGGGCCCGGGAAGCTCCCCCGGGGGCTCCTGGGCGCTCTTGGGCCCCGCCAACCTCGTGCGTCCTCCGGGCCGGCTGGCCTCACGCGTCCTGGTCTCCGTCCCATCCCCGAGTCAGCCTGTTCTCCCCGCGCAAGCTCCCCGCGCGTGGGCCCCGGGTCCGCGGGCGGCGTGGGGGGTCTGCCTGGCCCTCCCCTCCAGCGGTGGCGGGGGGGACCTGGAACCGTGCGCGCTGGAGGTTTCCCGGTTTGCACCTGGGTCGGAGAATGCTCCAGAGGAGGAAGCTTTCCGTGCACGCTCTCCAGAGACTGTGAGGCTCAGAGCCGGGTGACGGCGTGTCGTCTGCCAGGGACCGCAGGGTCCGAGGCCACCGGACACCGGTAGCCACGCACGGACGGGCAGAGGACACTGTTGTCTCTGCAGCTTTCTCATTAGAACTGAGCGAAGGGCGTGCTCGGGGAGAAATCCCTCCGCTCAGGACTCCATCGACGACCCGGTCAGCCAGGGCCGGGCGGGGGTCCCGTGGAGGTCAGTCCCTCGAGCGCGGCTCTCCAGCCCAGCGCCTTCTCCACTGCAGGTTGTTGTGCGTCTCCTCCCGCTGGGCAGGGGACAAGGACTGTGCCGTTTCTGGGGGCATTTAGGTCGCTCATCGTGGGTGGACACCTTTTCAAAAGCTCGTTGGCCGTGAGCTCTTTTCTGATGAGTTTTCGTTACTGTCTTGAGCAAACGCAGCCCCCACTCCTGACCCCTCTTTGGAGTTGACCGTTGTCTTTGGAATTGTCCTGGATTGCTACGAAAAGACCCGTAGGAGGAGGTCAAGGGCATCCCTCCCCAGCCGTGACCCGTACGCCCATAGCCTGGGAGCCGACCTTGGTAGCGTCCAGACGTGGTTCAGATCTTCTCTGTCCCGTGCGCCGTACGGCTCGCGTCTGCTTGTGTGTTGGGGGGTCTACACGCTTGTCTCCCGCCTGGAGCGCCATTAGCCCATACCACGGTCCAAGTGCCAACCTGTCCCCGCCTGCCACCTCAGTCACACCCGCCTGCCGCCCTTCACCCCAGCGGCCGCTGACCAGCTGTTCTCCAGCTCTGGCGTTTTTTCCAGTTGAGAACGTCAAGGACACTGAAACCACGCGAGACTGCGGGACCTTCCGAGGTCGGCTCCTCGCGCTGACTGGGGCTCCCTGGACGCCCATCGCGGGTGCCGGCGGTATCTTCCTGTCGCATCTTCCCGTCGCTGCCTGGTGAGCTTGCAGCAACCGCAGCGCCGGTCCTGAGCGCGGACTTTCTCCGCTCTCGCCGAGCTCCCCGTTCCAGGCACCGACCCTGGGTCGTGGGAGTCGTTTGTCCTCACAGGGCGGGGACTAAGCGAGAGGACCGTTTCTGTCGCGCTTCATGACCGTCGCTGGTAAGCCCAGGCCGCTCCCGGTCATGGCTCTGCTGCGCTCTCTGCCGCGGCTCCTCCCGTCGGAAGGTGCTCGTCTGTTGCGATCTGTGCTCCGGCTGTTTCCGGATTTCATTTATGACTTGCTAAAGACGGAGGTTTTTAGTTGGTCCTGACGTTTCCTAGATTTCACATTCACACTGTCGGGTCTTTCTGCTTGTGGCATCCTGGCCTTGGGGCCGCTCTGGAGAGCCCCCGGGAGTCCCGGGACGCTGCTCGTTCGGTGGCACAGGTGGGAGGCTCTCGAGGGCCGCTGCTGCCTGTTACCCGAGGCCGAGGAGCGAGGAGGGGGTGGGAAGAGACGGCAGACGGCGGAGGGCACAGCGCGCAGAGCAGGGACGGGAGGAACATGCCAGAGGGCGAGGGTCTCGGCGGAGGAGCGGTCACCATCGTGTGGACGGCCGTTCCTGGCCAGTGCGCACGATGCACTCTCCGGGGGGCTGCCCTGAGCTGTCGCTGTGGCTGGGAGCGGGCCGAAACCGGGGCTCGTGGGGGTACCCGTCCTCGCTAGACGCCCATGCCCACGAGAGGCCGGTGTTCCCCGGGGAAACGTCTAACACGGGAGGAGAAGACACTTGAGTGCGAGCCGTACCCCGGGAGAACAGGGCCGAAAACCAGGAAGAAAGGGCCAAAGATCAGAACAAAGTAAGAAACCGGAGCGCTGGGAGATCTCAGGATTCCTGTGTGCGTGTGAACACGGCCTGAAACGGAGCCAAGGGGTCCAGGCGGAGCTGCGTGCAGTGGGTGGGGGAGAGCGCCAGGAAGGAGCGTCCACGTTACAGCGGGGTTGTGTCCATATCCGCCTTGTTGGGGGGTGGAGGGCACCTCCTGGGGTGCCAGATGGCCGTGAAGTTCTGTCCTCCTCCCGCCTTCCTGCCTGCTCCTGCCTCGGCCCCCCGGGGGTAGCGGCTGCATGGTGTGTCCTGCTCCTGTCCCTGCTGTCCTTCCACGGGGTCCCCCTACCCGTTCAGACTCGCGATTCTGGGCTGTGGTCTGGGCGCAGTCTCACCACGGCCCCGCCCTGGAGGCAGACCCTGTAGGGATGTGTCAGTGTCGACTGTGTAGCTGACTTTGGGAGGAACCGTCCGTCTCCACCGCACTGTTTCCTGAAGCCAGAACCCGGTTTTCCCCCGTTTGTTCAGGTTCTTTGTCTTGACCCGTGTGGTTTCGAGGAGAAACTATGGAAACTGAGGTACGAGGCCCTTGGCTTTTCTACGGTTCCGTTCTGTTCTGTCCCGCAGCCCCCAGTGAGGGTGCCGTGGTCCGGGGCCTTCTCCGTCCTGCTGGCCTCCTGACATCCATTCCCTGTGCGTGTTCGTCCCTTGGCTTGGTTTTCCAGCTGACCTGTCCAGCCATCCTTGGGCCCCTCACCTCCCACGTCCCATGTAGACGCTGTGTGCCTTTCCGCAGTGGCCGGGGTTTCTAGAACCGCAGGTGTGTGCTCCTGGGCTCGTCAGAACAGTCCGCAGGACTAGGCCTGACGCGCGTGGTCACCTGGAGGTCCCTCCTGCCGTAGGTGTGCGTGTATCACACCCAGGGCCCTTCCCTCGGGTCCCACGTGGCGTCCACCACAAGCGTGGTCTCAGCTTTCCTTCGCCGCCACATCCTGGCACTGTCCCCAGGACCGGCCCACTCCGGCCCAGCACTGTGCCCATGGTCCTGAGTCGCGTGGCCAGGGGCTTCTGTGGGCGACCTCTGCACGCTCTGAACCCGGCTCTGGAGAATGGTCTCTGGCATGGGGGACCCGGCCCGCCTCCCTGTTTGCGTTCGAGCCCCTTTCTCCCTGCAGTGATGCCTGTCGTGATTTTGTCCGCACCTCTTTTCAACTCTGGCGTGGTCTGCGGAGAAAATTCTCGGTTGGGACACACGGTGACATGGCCAGTGGGGACTTCCGCGGCTTCCAGAGTCCCCTATCCCTGTTTGTCGGGAGGTAGAGTCCACGCCTCGGTTCTACGTCTGCCAGCTTTCCCTCTCTGTTCTCTGTCCAAGGCCCCGCCACCTCGATCTCTCTCTCACTCACCGTCACTCCGGGGAACGGTGGAGCAGGCGTCCATCACCAGCGCGTCCGCCCAGCTCCTCCTCTCTCCCCCACTTCTTTCCAGCTTGTGGCAGGTGGTTTGTGTTTGACCCTGGGCCGCGGGGCTGCTGTGCTTGTGGACCTCCGCTTGGGGCCTGGTGTTGCGGGGCCCGTGTTTCTGTCCCGTTGTATTCTTGGGGGCCATGGCCGTGGTCACGTGGCCGTCCGTTTTTTAGAGATACTTGATGCTTTCTTTTAAAGAACGTTCTCGTTGAGTCACATTCTTTCGGAGAGTCCTGATTCCAGGAG